AGACGGTTAGGCGTCGCGTTCAGAGCATCCAAGAGACATTGTGGATTTCCAGTGAACGAAGTCTGTGAAGGTTTGGGAGTCTACCTTGAAGACTTACCAGAGTGGTTGGGCGAGGACTAAGTGACCTTAGCTCAAGGAGAATACGGTGAGGACTTGGTGTCCTGAGCTGCGTGTTCAGGACTGGGTGTCCTAAGGTTTAAATACCTAGCCGCTCCAACCAGACGTACAGTTGTCACAGCAACTGGAACTGGTCCAACATTGTCTTCAACGAGTCACTGGTTTCATTTTCACTTTCTTTTACTTACTGTTACTCATTGTGAAGCCATTGCATGCTTGCTATATCTTTTGTCTTCACAACGTAACGGTATGATTTGTTTGGCTTCATAACCTCTTACTACCTGATCCTTATTACACTGCAGCTACTTGTCATTGTGCTTTCACTCTGTTGAATACTTGATCATGGCTTGCCTAGTGTAATCTAACTTCCGCTGCATAGTGATAGGCATATCTCTACTGTTTGTCTTCATAACTTCCACGTTTTGGAGACTTTCATAAAAAATGCCTATTCACCCCCCCCCCCCCTCTAGTCGATATAACGCACTTTCAATATCATCTCTACTCAATGTAAGCACACTTCTTTTCTTGGGAGTAGGTGTTGATAATAGCTCATTTGAGTTCCAATCATCATAACTTTTAGAGGTATTATCCAAAAGTTACTTAGCTTCATTCATTGTAACTTCTCCTGCATAACTATCTAGTTGCATTCTAGATACTGAGGTTAGACCATTACAAATATGTCAAGCAAAATGTGATCTTTAATCCCATGAAGTGGATTCTTTCTTTGCAATTCACAAAACTCTTCCAAGTTTTGAGGTAAAGCCCCACTCTTGTTTGAATATATATATATATATATATATATATATATATATATATATATATATATATATATATATATATGAATATCTCTAACTACAATATGGATATATAATCCCATTTTCCCATCTGTTTTCTTATTTTAGCGTTCGTTTGACCCGCTTTTGCTTGTTTTAGGCTAGTTTCTCACAATAGTTTATAAATAAGCACAACACAATTCAACAACTGCAAGCTAAGCCTGGATCTCTTCTTAACTAGTAAAGAATTTATTGAAAAAGCAAATAGACACTATCAAATGGGTAAATTTGGCGATCAAGGAACAAAATTCTTTCATACCAATGCCACCATCAGGTATAGAGAAAAACTTGTCACAAGTTTGCATGATGGAAGTGTAGTCACATATCAAAGGTAAAGTTGGTCTGCTTTGGAATGTTTGTAAAGAGATGATGGGAACCTTTGATTTTCAGCAAATGCACTTTGATGTGAACAGTCATTTACAAGCAATTGATAATGTCAATCTTTTCGAGGAGCTTTAACTAAAAAAGAGATTGTTGGGGTAGTTAAGTCCTTGTCCTCTGGTAAAACCCTTGGGCCAAATGGGTTTCTAACACCGTCTTCTTTTTTACAAAAAAGGGTTGGCCCCATTGTCTCAAGGGATTTATATGAGTTGTGTGAAGCATTCCAACGGGACAATGTATCTTTAGGGCATCAATGACTCATGTACAACACTGATGCCCGAGAAAGGTGTGGCCTCCAAGGTTACACGCTTATTTCCCTTTTGCACAATTCCATGAATATAATTAGAAAGTTTTTGGCTCATACTAGGTTGCAAAAAGTAATCTTAGAGTTTATTCAAAGAAACCAATATGGCTTTATCAAGACAATAATCATTCAAGACGGAACTATGCTCATACTCCACTTGTCTTCCTTGAACTATGCTCATACTCCAAAAAGAAGGAAGAATTAATGTCCAAGGCTAAAGCTTCCCCAGTGTTGCACGTCTTTTTCAGCTCTCACTTTCAGTGCAAGCCTATGAGTTGCTTGATCTTTAGCAGCTGACACGAAATCTCTCAGAAACTGGAAAAAGGAAAAGGATTGTTCATATCTTGTCTTCGGCTAAGGCCTGCATGTCTCTAACAAGACATACTGAAGTTCATATCTTTTTTGGGTGACTATGGAAATCATCCTGTCGACATAAGCGTGATGGTTTCTTTTGTTCGATGCCGAAGGATCGCCTAAACACCAGGGAATTCGTACAGTACTAATTTAAGTAAGAACAAGGATCTTCGTACATATGGCTATTTCTTGTGTCCAGAGGCAATGATGAGAGTTTGGTGCATCTCTTTTTACACACGGGAATTCTCAATATCATTTTTGTTTCTCATCAAACGAATGTTGGTATCTCTTGCGACAATATTGGGCCATGTTGGGAGTAGTGATTCCATCCCAAGAGGGTCCCTTCCGTATATTGGTTTCGCCAAAAAAAAAGGAGTCAATTGGCAGTCCATGACATGGTCGATTGGTTTCGCCAAAAAAAAAGGAGTCAATTGGCAGTCCCGTCCTTTTTCTTTCGTGAAAAATGTTATTCTCGTGAGCTGGAGTATTTGGAAGTACCATCCCAGCAAGTTTAGTCGAAATTCGGAGCTCCAAATGGATGCCTGTTGTCATCGGCCACCATAGGATTACCCACTTTTGCCTGCCCTTTCCATAGGATTGTTAAGTGACAGTGTTCTGGATTTAGGGAATCGGTCTAGAATGAGCACCAGAAGTTTCACTGGCTCCTATGAACTGGGCCTAGATTTAAGAAACTGGAATTGGATTTTGGCTACACAAGAATTTGATATCATAAATACTCCCTCTGTTCCTAAATACAAGTCTTTTTAGAGATTTCAATAGGTACTACATACAGATATACATACATATTTTAGAGTGTAGATTCACTCATTTTACTTCGTATGTAGTCCCTTTTGGAATCTCTAGAAAGACTTGAATTTAGAAACGGAGGGAGTGCCAAACTCAATAGTACTGGTGAGTTGTATATATAGAATTAGAAGGAAAGAACTGTCTCATCAACACACCAAATTAGCGAACACTGGAATGAGATAACTTGATACATGGCAAGAGATAATACGGGTCAACAGTAAATAGTGTGCCACAACAATGAGCATTGCACACGACCTGGAATGGAGCTGACCGTGCCAAAAATTATGTCCGGGAAACAGACCTTCAATCAAACAACTAGATAGAAATAAACACTGGACTGGAGCAGCCTTTCCTGCCTCGTTCGTCAAATGTCTCCCACCCAAGATTATACACACACGGGCAAATATATGTGTAGCCAGACTCGCCTGCGACCACGTACCGTCCAGCCAATCATTTATACATTTCAACTCTTTCTTCACTGGGAGCCTGCGGGTTTTCAGTTAGTGTTAAGAGAGTTCATGCGAAGAAATACAAACACAAAGCAGGAGCATATAAAAAATGGAGAATCAGCGTAACAAAATTCCCGTAATAAATGAAAATCCTTCCAACATCATCCATCTTGAACAGAATAAAACAAATTCTGTAAAATCTGATAACAGTAGCAAGTTCATTCCAGGAAAATGTAATCAATGTCGATTTCAAACAAACGGTTCTAGTCTCTTGTAAGAAGCACGAAGGGGGTAACACGTGACCTGGGTGACACATTGTTTTCGGGTGCTTAAGAATTTGTACAGTAGTATTAGTTGGCTTTGAAAATTACACTCAGCTCCCTAAACTGGATATAATTTGCAGTCAGTTCTCTCTTCAGGAGTTTCCAGACATGCTGACAGACATGATCTGGTGAATCTATCAGTGATAGCACCACCCAACTGGTCCTGACTCCCAGGTAGCTGTCCCTGCAGTGGCTCCAGCAGCCACAGCTCGCTTAGTACATGCATGAGTCAAGAAACTAACCTTCTTGTATGTGTTCCTCCCAGAAACTGCAAATCCTAGAGGTGTTTGATCAAATGAGGGAAGATGGTGCGAGAAGATAAAATGAGAGAACAGACAAAAATTTAAGTAACCACATCTAGAACGTAAGAGAAGGCTACCCGCGCACAAGAGGGAAATGGCATAACCTTGGATAGGCAAGAATTTATTCTGGTGATTCTAACAAACTAGCTCAAACAAGTGTGAAGCGAAATGCTTTGCTGAACCAGTTCAGCTGGACCAAAGAATCCCACCGTACAAACATCTTTGAGATTCAAGAAATACACCAACCAACCAACCCCCTCTCCTCCTTTTCCTCATTGTAAAAATGCGCATGACAAATGTTTTCAGTGCTAAAGATAATTCTAACAAGAACTTAAGATCAAGAACTTATTTTAGTGTTGAACCTCGGACCGTCGACACAGGCATGGGCTGCAACAGCAAACCTCTCATATTTCACTTGCTTCTAGGAGTTGGACATGGTAGATCACATCCCCACACAGTGTGTCTATGCTCGAGAAACTTGGCATAAGTGCCTTGCTGCACTCAATATCCAGATCGCCGCTCCGACGACCAATGACTGTTTAGAAGAGTGGTGGTCTACAGCCAGACAGCCGTTGCCAAAGACGCTAAGGAAAGGATTTGATTCGGTGGTCATTCTTATATCCTGGAGCCTTTGAAAGCAGCGCAACGCTAGGATGTTTCACAATGGGGAGCAGCAACATTCAGTCATTTGTTTAGTGTCTAAGATTATCGATGAACTATGGGACTGGAATGTTGCGGGTATGGTGTCTCTAGACAGTATCACGATAAGAGTAATTTTCTTGTGTGGAGTGTCGTGCAATGCCGATAGGTTCTCTTGTAAACTATCTTTGCTGCCTTCTATAAAAATATGGTACGCAATTTGCGTACTCTCGAGAAAAAAACACTACAACTCAGATTAGACGGTTGATCTCCTGGCCAACTCTTCATGGGGCTAGTAGCCAACAGGTTACACCACCACCCTCAGATAGATGTCAACCTAGAATGCCAGTTCATGTTTTAAAAAGATCGTATGTGTCCTAAATCCTGACTGGACCCAGAAAATTCTAATGAACACAATTGCATGGGTTAATCTCTTATGGTACTTCCTCTGTAAACTTTTATAAGATCTTTTAGATCACTACTTTAGTGATCTAAACGATCTTATAAAATTTTACGCAGGGAGTACATACTATGCAGTTAGCTACTGACTGCATCTATGCAGAAGATTTAAGATATATGTGACCCATAGAATTTGAGATCATTTCAATTACTAAACTCAGCAAGCGATTAGTAAGCGTTTAGTCAGATGGACGGAAGAGCATAATACATTACAATATCAAACAAAGGATAAATCAATGACCTGATCACAATGCCATTTCAGCTTGCAGTGCAGCAAGCTCATCCTCCTCAGCCGATGCTTTCTGTGGAGCAGGACGAGTTGGTTGTGCCTTGCCTGGGACGGGTGTCGTATGAATAGGAATAGTTACAACAGGCTCCAGTAGTTGAGATTCCAACTCTGCTCCCTCCAACTCTTCCAGCTCCGCTTCCAGTTCATCCTGTCAAATTTTCAGTGTGGTAGGTATTAAATGCATCAGAACAGGAATGGAATCTAAACCCCAAGATCATAAATCCTAATTGGCTAGTGAGTTACCTCGTCAAAATCAGCAGAAGCTCCAAGAGGAGCTGACAGAGCATCTTGTATTTGTTTCATGTTTTCTGTCTGTTCATTAATTTCGTCCATAGTCTTGTCGACATCATCGATATTTCTGTAGCACAAAGAAAAATGTTCATCTTGAGACCTCAATTCCAGGAAACAATTAGTGGAGCAAATCCTAAATTAAAATGAACCAATACTCACGTTGCTTTTTGCATAGCTTTCATAGCTTTAGCTCCAGTCCTCAATGCATCAACAGTCTCTGTGGTAGCTTTAGCAGCTTCTAACATGATCATCTATATAACAAGATTAACACTGTGAGATACATGGATGCAACAATCAGGAGAAAAACATAGTTAGAACTAGGAGGTAACCTGATCATGGATTCTCAACTGGAAATTCCCAAGCTGCTCAATTTGCTGCTCATAAAGTTTTTTCCTCTTCAATGATTGGATAGCCGCTGATGAAAAACAGTGATTCAATTGACATACGGTATTTCTGCAGTTCTGTAATACTCTATTCTACATTACATAATAATTAAGACCAGATAACATTCCAAGGTAATCAGATTTTCTCAACTGGAGAAGAAAGAGTGGACAGAAGCAAAATGAATAAGCTGTATTTAGCTACATGAAGAATCATCACTGCTTTGAGTAAAATGACGGTAAAGGTTGGCTTCCATAAAACACTACACAAAACATGCACCTTATACACATTGGATCAAAATGCAGAAACATAGATGATCATTGCGAAGTAGGACCATGGCCTGTGTATAACAGACGTTGATTTACCATTTTACTTTGAGAAAAG